AGATGGACCACTTCGACACTTTTGGGAAGAATTTTTTGTCTCCTTTTCATTTACAACTCGAAATTTCAGCTCGTAAGTTGAGTAAAAAGTGAATTAACTTTTCGCTAATTACAGTCAAATCAAAACTGATCTTCACCCAATTAACAACGGAGCTATTTATTCACAACACGCTCCTGCAAGGACCGTCACATTTCACACGCTAAAAACCACTGTCCTTCCAATTAGTACGTATTCATTGCTTTTCATCGACGTCATCAGGCTTCGCATTTAGGCCAAAGTCCGAGTCTAATCGAGATTACAATTCAAACAACAACCATACAGGGATGATAATTGATTCAGTCCCAGCTTCCTCAAACCATAACCCACTTAAGAGTTAAATACAGTTTCTATACTTCAGAGAGAGAAAGTTAGATGGAAAGTCCATCAACATGGATGATGATATTCGTGCTATCGGTGTAATGAATCCTATCTATACAACGTAATCCCACGATTGAGATCCTCAGAGACAGCAAGATTTGCGCAGAGGGCTCACAGTGCCTCTGCTTGGCAAAGTAAAACATCATACATCATTCTCACAAGCAGGTTCCCACACAGAAGACTGCCTTAAAAGAAAGGAAACAAATCAAATATCAAGCTAGAAGGAATCTTGTAATAGCTTAATGATTTATCAGGTAACGTATAAAAAACCGAACGAAACACGACTTTATTGAGACTTTGCATTTGAATAATTCATTAATCGAGTAAAAAAGGAACTGTTGGTCCAGATATAATTTTACACGAAACTTGGCTCAAAATTTAATGAAGCAAATTTTTCCGCGGTATCCTTCTCCACCAGAAAGAGGGTCGAATTAAGGTAGTAAGAAACAATAACGTGACAGTGATGTATTTTTTTAAAGAGAAGCAACCTTCAGTAGCAATTACAAGTTTTCTCGAAAGTCGTACAACTTTTATCTTTTAGTAACTCGTACTTTGCCGAAGCTTACAATCTACAATCAGGGCGATGAATAGAAGAGATGGCTCTGAAAATGAAACTGTTTAGTGGGAAAGAATCGAATTAAGGTAGAAGGGAAGAGCAAAATGCCACAAGGAAACTCGCTATCGTCTAATGGAAATATCTGTCCCTTTTTTAGCGAGACAGAGTGAACAACTTCACAAGTCAAGTTGCAAGTCGGCAAAGAAAAAGCTTCTACAACATGTTTCTCTTCAAAAAACAACTGCCAGATTTTTTTTACTACTCCAGTCTTTTGTTTTTAAACGAGTTTTAGGTGGCATCAAATGAGACGCGTCCAGCGACTCAATTCTGGAAAAAAACACACAATAGGAAGACCTTAAGGGTGATCACCCTTGATATTAATTAAGGGTGATGGGTGATCACATTAAGGGTGATCAACTCCAATGCAGGCTGGCTAAACCTCCTGGTACAGCTAGTTAAGACGGGAAAGGCGTCTCAGATCAGCCTCATTTACGACTCATTTGCCTATGCGACACATGTTGATGACGAAATTACCAAATGAAGTTAGCGTACTTAAAACAAAAAAAAAAAAAATATATGCAGTGGCGACAAACAAATCGTGAAACATAAAAAAATAGCCAGCATTTGGAACAACAAAAAAAATTAGCCAGCAAAAAAAGCATCTGAAACAAAAAATGCGACTGAAATTGTTAAGTAGATTTGTCACTCTTTATAATCAAACTTCTATTTAAGGAGTCTAGCTTGGAACTTACGCACCAAACTTGCTTAATTAATGTCACATCACATCAGACGACAAGAATAACTTGAACGCATCAGATAAAATCGAAAGCAACGCTTACATTTACATAGTGGTTGATACATCACTGATAGTAATTTCAAACCCGACATGCTAATGCACTAGCAATGCCTGCTCACAAGCAACTGCGCAAACGCTAGACCATCAGTCGTTAGTGGTGGGGTTCTATAGTGCCTGTTGCTGGGCCGTGACGAGGCGAGCATGCCGTGCGCGACGGCTACCCAGTGCAGTGTATGCTGCGCGCTGTTTGTCGACTATCATGTCCGAGCATCCCAGAGAAATGTGTTCAAGCATTCCGATGAAACTGGGAGTCGCTGAGTTTGTTATTGTCCTCTGGTTGAGTAAAGGATGTTTTGCAGCAGAGCATTTCTTTAGGTGCTAATTAGGATTAGGTAATGGAGCAGTGCTCACTTCCCTGGTGAGGCTTGCTGGCTGGACTAGAACTCGAGCTGCTCAAAATAAGAACTTAGTAAGTCAGTTTTTAGTTGCTGTAAGGTATTTTTGGGTAACGTGATAGTTTAGTTTACTGGTAAAACGAAAGAAAAAGCACCATTCGTTCCTTGTAGGAAACGCTTTTAGTCGCGGGAGGAAGACTTGGAGTTCAACTATGATCACGTGACAACGTCAACAACATCAAGTTGGTCATCAGGGGATACATACCTACCTATCAATCTGACATCGTAAGTCCATCAGCCATGTAAGTAGCGAGGAAGCGTAACAATGGCTTTCAAAACAGAATTGGAGTCGATCTTACATAGCGCACACCGGCCCTAAAACACAGTCGCCGTAACACGTGACATACCTAAGCGCTGAGTGTCGTAACCCGCGTGAATTGCACAAGCAGTTCTTACTTATGACTGGTGAGATCCTCGGCCTAACGATATTACCAAGGGAGAACATTTGAATGGCTCGCACAAGCTCTGCGATCAAAAGTGTCACTCACTTCACCTGTCCTCAGCGATCCAGAAGATGGAGAACAAACTTACTCCTCAGCGATGGAGAAGGAGAGTAAGTTTGCAGCTAATAAATATCAACAAGTTTAAATTTGAGTTGCTGGCAACATACTTGAGTATGAAGCACAATCGTTATACTTGCAAACAAATGTGGCAACTGAAGCTTTACACGGCTTCTTAGGACTCATCTCAACTCCCATAACCAATAATTATTAGAGCATACAACACTAGAAATTAATCGCATAATGATAAACAAGCGCCGGCTTTTACAGGGCCATTGCTCGTATTAGAGTAATTTAGCAAAGAACATTAGATGTCGTCATCGTCATACGTAGGGAGATGAGTTGCTGGTTGAGGTAGCTGAGACCTCGAAGTCAACTAAACCCCTTTTATCACTAATACTCATAGCTTAGTATAGATACAACATCTAAAGGAGAGATTTTTATAAACAGGAACAGCAAATCTTGAGTATCCATAAATCTAGCACGAGTGACACACTGCAGTGCTACCTAGCACTAAATCTAATAGTTACGGTATTCCTAATTGTTTAAGAAGTCAAGCATCAGATTCTAGACTCAATACACGGAGTTCAGCGGAAATGAATAATTCCTATTAGGGTTTTAGATGAAACAGCAAGGCTTTAAACAACAATCAACAACGTAGAACAAAGTAAGAGTACTAAATAATTACACGAGTCCAAGACGAAAACTCCTAATTTACGCTTCTACAAAGGAAAGTAACTTTGGTCTGCAGAGGAAAAGAAATTTATAATTTCGCGAGTGAGGGGTTGCAGAATTCCCACAACCTGAATGTACATTACGCTTGGAGTTAAGGCGGCGCTTATCAGTTGTTTCGCGGCCCTCCTATCACTTTCAAGGTATATGCGGATTTGGAGACGCGAGTTTGCGAGCTTCATGAATTCCAACATAGTGACTAACTTTCTGGGAAACAACAAACCTCCATGCCTAAACAAACAATAAAGCTACATTTCTCTAACAAGGGCATTAAGGGACGGTTCAAGAACTCTCTCGCTACTTCAAGTAAGAAACTTCAGGCTAAGGTCCTCTGTAAATACGAACCAGCTAGTCGCTCCACCAAGCTTCTACGTCCTACGATTGTTAGGGCTGGAAAATATGTTGCCCAACACTAGATGCGAATAATTGTAGCATTAATGCGAGAAAACTATGGGTAGAATTTAAAGTTAGAAACGGGATTTTATGTCAGACTTTGCAAGCATGTGAAACAGAGGAGCATCAATTTCTGTAGTGTACAGAGACCATCCGTCCCCGAGCCTTTCTTGCACCTGACACGATATAACATCACGCGAACCAGAACTTAGCCGAACATCGACCTGACCATAAACACCCGTAGGTCATCATTATTTGAAACGCTTCACAGTCTTTTGCGCCGTTCTTGCATGACTTCACCAAGAAACTTATATTCAGAAACGCTTTTAGCGTTCGAAAATGTTTGCAGAACAAACGACCTAACTTCCACGAAGCATTTGTCAGTACCAGGCTTAGTAGTGTAGAAGATGAGATCAGAAGACCTCTTAGAAATTGTACGCACGCAAGTCGGCCTGTGAGGCCGTCAGAGCGAAGCACCTCATGTCCGTTTCCCTGCACTGACCGCTAAAGTCCCCAAGCGGTTGACGACGAACAACTGCAGGGAAAGTTGCGTCGCAAAGAGAAAAAACAGGCAAGAGCGATGTATGGGCAGAAAAAGATGACGGAGCTTCACATAAGCAAGCAGTTAGAGACAATATCAAACATTGTCGTGATTCCTGAGATCAAAATACTCTAGCATGAAAGGCTTCAAACGAACGATTCTTTGGTTGGTGGATAGATGCTGCTTATAATACTAACACAATGAATAGAGTAACACACACTAACAACAGTTTTTTGAAAGAAGAGAAGCATTTTTAGCTTCCGGCGCGCAAAGCACCCAACTTGCGTTCGCTATTTACCAAATTAAAACGAAATAACAAATGCCACAGCAACAACCGTAAACTAGATCTTAAAAACAAATGATTACCGGAACCAAACCTAAATAAGTGCTCTAGTGACAAATTAGAATGCTTATAATTACCTGAACCAAAGAGACCCATAACAACTTATTATTATCACTTATCTCAATAGTGCTTTGGTAGTTGTAGGAAGATATCTTAATAATAAACCAGGTCAGCAAGATAAGTATCGCTGAGCTGACAGGCAAGGAACAACCGGATCCCTGGCTGCTAGCAAGCAGTCTACACATACATGACATTGAAACAAAAAAAAAAAAAAAAAATCAAAAGAATGAACGCAAAATCTGTTACGTCTAATGATATAAATCGTCTCGATCTATTCTCAGCTCCGCATTCAATAAAGTGGCCAAAGACGCTGCTGGAAGTTCAAACGTGTTTGTTTGGGTTGACGATTGCAACTAACGTCCATAAATGTCTTTAAAGAGAGGGCTAATTTGAAACTACAATCGTTCTACAATTTCAGTTCTGGCTAACGTCAAAAATTTTCGGGACGCGTAATTTATTGACGACCAACATGCACCTGCAGGACTTGCTATGCTAAGCTAGAGAAATAGAATACCGCGCAAATTTGCTGGCACTACCACAACAACACTTGCCACATCCTAGCGATGATTTACAAAAGAACAACAAGTTTCTATTTGAGACATTAATAACCTGATGGATGTGGCTGGCACACTCCGCAGCAACATGCTTCCAAACATTGCTAAACTGAACATAGATTTTATGCTAACAACGAGATGATAGTTGAGAAAGCAAGACTTTGAAGCATGCCACCCGCAGTACGGAGGATGTGATATGATAGCGAGCAATGAAGCACGAGGCTTCTACACTTCATAATTGATACAAGAGTTGAAACTGCGGCACGAAGTTCTCATATACAAGCGAAACTGACAAAACTGTCGATAATTCGAGAGCAAAAAATGAGCTTGATGCTTTAAAGTTTCAGTATATCAGAAATATTACTGCGTTACAGTCAGAAGTGGGAGTATTTATTCAACATGTGGGTTAAAATGATTGTATCATTGTATATAGCAGTTGGAAGACTATCTACTTAAAATTGACAGCTTTTTGACATCAAGCCAAAATGAAGCACGCGTCATCAACGCAGAAAAGTAATTAATCGCTCTCATTTGCACAGTCTCAGTCCAGCAGAAAGCAAGTATAAAACGCACACAAGTGAGAGACAGACAACGATCCTGCTGAGCGGCTTATAGAAATGCGAGCGATGGAAGAGGGGCAGTGATGCAAGCCATCAGGGAGAGGAGGGGCAGTGATGCAAGCCATCAGGGAGAGGAGGGGCAGTGATGCAAGCCATCCATCGCAGAAATTAGTTCTCCCAGGAGTAAAGCTTCAACTTTACCAGTAATAAAAACGGATTCAACAAATACTGATATCAGATTTTACTGATAAGCTTCTCCTACGAACAACTAATGAAATTTTGCTGCATTAATCTTCCTGAAATTTCCATTTTGATTAAATTTCTGACAGACAAGAATCAACAATAGTGATGGAAGGGAGAAAGATATTCTGTCCCGAACGTTTGTTTTCGAAATCAGACACATTAAATAATTTCGTAAACCTCTTCTTCAGCCAAAGTGGTAGTTCTTTTAAAGAAGGAACAGCCACAAATTTTTCTGGGTGTAGCCACTCGGTCGGTATCGGCAGGAAGGCCGCCTCGCAAGGGTCAAGAAAATGTCGAGCGGGCGTTGGTAATTTTAGAGGCGAAGCGAGAGAAAGTGTCCGAGATGATGCGGGCGAGAGTTGGCTCCCGCAACCCCGTTCCCTAAGACACTGCAGGACCAAATATCGGAGCGCCGGTCAAGGGATCAATGAGATGGCAGGAGGGGGTCGCTCCAGACGTGTTGCTCACATCTGAGGATTTAGGTACTTCACTGGGCTTGTTGTTGTGGCTCTCTTTGGCTATAACACGCGGACCTTCACCGACGGTGGTGTGCATGAAGTACTGTAGCTTGATGCCTGCGGGGCTGTTAGCGCTGTGAAAGTTGTTAATCAAGTCCAAACTAACAGCCTCAAGGCTAGGGATGAGCTGGGGAGTGGGGCAGGGTAGACCTCGCAGGTAAGTGTCTAAGGTGCAATGGTCTGATGGCGGGAAGACTTTGAGCAACAAAGACATCACTTGCCCCACTGCAGCTGCGGGCACGAACAGGCAAGCGTTCGGACCCGCGTCGAATGTGTAGCAGATCTGTCATCGTTAGAATTTTTTTAGGTTTGTGAACGAACAATTTTGACTTGTAGGACAATACAGCATTACACATATTATGATGAAATTATTACACTAATTATTGCTTTTAGTACGTAATCATAATACGATCCTAATGTATGGAATAGAATAGGATTAATGTCCAATAGAATATATTGAGCACAAAACCAACTTTGAGTTGCGGCTGCCCTTCCTTGACGACGACTCTGTTGTACTCGTGGACGAGCTCGACGACCGCGTGCGACGTGTCCGTCATGTACACGACGGGCGGACTGGCGGTGAGGCAGGCCGCGTGCATCTCCTGACTGTCGCTCATGGTCAGGTCGCAGAAACTGGACCAGTCCTTCTCAGCGATGGCCTGCACAATACCACCTCATCAACTAACAACAATCTTGATTATCGTAGAATGGCAACAGACTTAGGTTTACTTGACCAGACATTCTCAGCTGAGGCTGGCATAGGGATCATGTGCATAGGACGGGATCTATCCCCGGCAGATGTTGTAATACAAAAAATATTGTGGAGCTCCTACAAAATCGTGACATCCCTGAAGTCAAAGATGTTGCCTGAATCAAGTTTACTATAAATTGCAAAATAAATAAATGTTACATGTATTAATTGCTATAAATTGTAGTGAATACATCTACACACTGAGACGCTGATTTGCAAAAAAATTTCCTTTGCTTTAAAGAAGCTATGTACATGTAATTAAATTAAAAATTAATTTAAGTTTCATTTTCTTGTAGTCCATGAATTTACAGGACACACATAAATAGTCACTAAAAAAGCTAACAACGCTCTCAATTGAACTTGAGAACTAAGTATGCGCGAAACTGCAACAACTTGAACATACAGCTTTGAAAGACGTTTCAAAACTTTATTGAATTTTAAACTAACTTGATGTAAGAAATATTTTATGACAACAAGCAGGGAAGACGAGAGCAAACCTTGACGATGTTCTTGGTGCGGGCATCAACGGTTGACGTGAGGCGCATGTTCATGACGAGCGACGTCTTGACGCAGCGTCGCATGCCCTCCGTGCTGCCAGTCTTCTTGCGCCGCCCGCTTGCCTGCACACAAACTTAATGAGTCAGCTCTGCTCCTGACCTCCCTGATGCCAGGGGTGCTCCTGACCTCCCTGATGCCAGGGGTGCACCTGAGCTCCCTGATGCCAGGGGTGCTCCTGAGCTCCCTGATGCCAGGGGTGCACCTGAGCTCCCTGATGCCAGGGGTGCACCTGAGCTCCCTGATGCCAGGGGTGCACCTGAGCTCCCTGATGCCAGGGGTGCACCTGAGCTCCCTGATGCCAGGGGTGCACCTGAGCTCCCTGATGCCAGGGGTGCACCTGAGCTCCCTGATGCCAGGGGTGCACCTGAGCTCCCTGATGCCAGGGGTGCACCTGAGCTCCCTGATGCCAGGGGTGCACCTGAGCTCCCTGATGTCAGGGGTGCACCTGAGCTCCCTGATGCCAGGGGTGCTTCTGAGCTCCCTGATGTCAGGGGTGCACCTGAGCTCCAACATCTCCGATGCTACAGAACCATTCTAACGTTATCGTCAGCCCCATAATATATTGTAAAAATTTAGAGCTGCATAGTAAAATCACATTACCTGAGCGTAATACACAAACAAATGGCAGCCAATGGATTAATATTCCATAACTTATGACTAGTAGACACAAAAATAACAATAATAAATCACATTAGTGTGTTCTGATCAGATGACAAACGAAGAAGAATAAAATTGTAGCAGTTAAGAATTCACCGGCCCTTAGTTCAATCTAGATTACTCCATCAGCTTTGTACAAGCTGTAAATAAAAGCTATTTCTTTGTCCTAGTTTGCTTTGTGATAGGAAGCTAAAGAAAGTAACTTTTAAGAGTTCCTCACCACGCAGAGGATGGCGTGCAGTTCACCAAAGTGGTCGGGAGGCGCAACCTGACGAGCAACCGAGTCACTCCCGTCCAGCTGTTCTCCCTGACCACAACATAAACAACAAGTTATGTTTAAAAGAGGCTGGAAAAAAGAAGTTCCCATAGGCTCTGCAGTAAATGTTCTCTCAGTATCTCAACAGCACTTCATAATATAAATATATTGCCCTGTAATAGCCGCTAATTGTTCTTCAAATACTTCCTTATTTTAATATTTTCAAACATCACTAACAAATAACATACTTTCAAACGAGTGATTGAATTAGACTTTTTCACCTGAATCGTGATAGATATTTATTAGAATTACCTTGTACCAGCGAACAATGCCTCCCAGGACACTTCTGCAGGCACTGCCAGAGCCTTGCCGAGCTGCCACCGAGAGGTCGCCTCCGCTCACCCCATACACCTCTGCCACTGCCACCACTGTACACATGTGAACACCCCATACACCTCTGCCACTGCCACCACTGTACACATGTGAACACACCGTACACCTCTGCCACTGCCACCACTGTACACATGTGAACACACCGTACACCTCTGCCACTGCCACCACTGTACACGTACACCAACTCGTGCACAGAAGTGAAAAAAGGCACAAACGTCCAAACTATCAACTCAAAGAATAAAACATCACTACAATGGATAGTGAAGAGTAGCAACAATGTTTGTATTTAAACATTCCATAACTACCATACGTGCCAAATGGTTCAGTGATTTAGAGTGGGATTCAAAACAACATTGAAGAGGTAGTAGGAAGAAACGTGGCACAGAAGGGAAGAATCATGGCCACAAAAAGGAGGAATGATGGGGACAAATAGGAGAAATAGCGGGTACAAGGAGGAATCGTTGGCACAGGAAGGGAGAATGGTGGGCACAGAAAGGAGGAATGGTGGGTACATGAATATTTCTGCTGGTCAGAGTAGGTATATAGGTATATTTGCTTCATGTCATATAGCTTCCCCGCACACATGGATACATTTCTTTCATTTATTCATATCTGAGAGCATTAACTTCAAATCAAACTTGTATCTTATTCAATTTTTGGAGAATTTGAGAGGTCTGTTAACCTAATTTTTTTCTGTGGGTTATGCAATGATAAAAATATGAAACAAATGTATATGATAGCAAGAGGATTACCCATTGCTGCATATCCAGCAGCTGACGAGGCTAGTCCTGCAGCCGTGGGGAAGTTGTTAGCTGAGCAGATGTGCACGGGCCAGGAGGTGATGTCATCTTCACTGCCGCAGCTACTGCAGCTTTCCTTAGCTCGACGTCGGACTGAACACAAATAGTAACAAAATTAATGACAAATTTGAAACATAATTTTAAAGTACAAGATATACATCAATTGGATTTTTGGCTGGCACATTTCATCTCTATAAGGGCTGCTCTAAAATAATGATAGATTACTTACATGAATGAAAACATCTAAAGCTGATAAATGGAGTATAGGTTGAAAATATAATACTAGTTACCAGATAGTCATAATTTAAACTTGTCATGATATAGGTACAACAATTGTAATTAGTACCATTGAAAGCTAACAATTAAACGAAAATAAGCTGGCAATAATTATGATATTCATGAGTTTTGAGAAATTTAACAGAGAAGAATTAACAAATGCCAGAACTCACTTGAGGAATTACTTGTGTTAGCTACACACTGTGTTACCTAACATAACCAGAGTATCTAATTTAATTCCTATTACTGTAGTAGTAGTAGTAGTAGTAGTAGTAGTAGTAGTAGTATAATGGTTTGCTAGCGCTTCAGCTATCAAGCTATTTCGCACCGAAGGTCAAAATATAACATCGCCAAAGAGGCGGAAGGTCTCAATTATTCAATAAGGAATCCTACCTACATAATAACTTAACCCCGCAACTGAGACCTGCAGTTAGACACCGCGTGCTCAGCGGTGGGGCGCTTAGGAACAATCCCCCAAGGAGCGCGAAATCCCATAGGACTTCTGACGAGCACAGACACACGTCAGAAGTCCCCCCTGAGGGGCTATTACTGTTGTTTATTTGAGCCATTATTATTGAGTGCACTGGCAAGTTACAGCTAAAAATCAGAGACACTCTAGGACAATTTTCTGCTTACTTTCTTTAAGGCAGTTTTGGATGCGTGGATTCTCTAATGACTCTTCTCTGCAAAAGAAAGACAAGAAGAAGCAAGAATCATCACTGGCTTCATCCAACACAAATTTATACTTATATTATACTGTATCATATTACTTTCTACCAAGTAATGGGTTAGATGCTCTACATTCAAATTCAATACATTGATACAAAAATTATAGCACCAATAACATTTGTTAGGATAATTTGCCATGTGCAAATTATTTTCACACTATCACTACGCATCAATGTGCACCAGGGGAATATTTTCTGCTATTAAACAAAAAATGCACATGAAACAACTAAATAATGAGAAGCCTTATTTTTCCATGTACAGCTAAACATAACAGAAACAAAAAATAACATTGGATGAAAAAAATTGTAGTACTATGCAGAAAAAATAACAAAATTTTTTACTCATCAGCTCCGTTTTTATTGATATACCTATATAACCTACTTAGTGTTAATTATGAGCATTTATGGTAAAGCACATTAATTTATTACTGAATTCAATTAATAACGCAATATTAATGGAACAATTACATGATACATCAAGACTGATATTTGCAGTGAAGTCAGCAGGTGACCGTGTATTGCACATCCTGGTAGTGGAAACTTTGAATGGGTGATTGCTGGTACTATTTTTGATGTCAGTTTTTCTAGGGTTGTACCATGACCATCACTGACAAAAGGCAATTATTAAACCTAAGGCAGTCATTGCAAAGGATTATCTTGTAGATAGTGCAGGAGGTTGATGTATTAGCAACAAATTTTCCACGCATATTTTACAGCTTTGCATTTGAATTAGTTTTACTTGCCCTTCCTTTTAGATTTTCCAAAGGCCTTAATTGCATTATAGCTTTGATTGAGCCTCAATAGGGCCAATTATTTAAGCTCGATATTGGGAGAATTTCAACAGATGCACAGCACTGAACCCATTACTTCCACCACAATACTGTCTACTGGATCAGGTGTGATCTACATTAGTGATCAGGACAACTCATTGGTTCTACATATTTGTAGTTACCCCTGCTCCATGGAACTCACTGCAATGACAAGAAAACAGGTTTCAACTCTGTGGCCGACTGGTTGGGAGAGGTACAAAGCCACACAGAAGATAATAATTTTTATGATTATAATATGATGACGAGCTCATGGTCATTATTATTATTGTAAATACACAAGTGGGCTTCATACAGTCTATACATACTGTTAATCACTCGGTCCCTAGGATAGTGAGGCTGTGCGGTAGAACACAGTGGTAACTATGGTGGAACACAGCCTCAGCCTCACCCCTATTAACTGTTCCACCAGAATACCATAAGGTCTTTCTTTCTCTCTTATACACCTAAATGACCTAATAGCTTCTTGACTCAAAAACTGAGTGCCTGGGAAGCATTCAAGTGGCTTTTTAGTTGCTTCTGACAAAAAAAAGATACTTAATCAAGTGTGTGTGGGGAAGTTGGTTATTCCACGTGAGGATGAAAGGAGCCAAATTTCAGTCATGAGTGAATTTCTTCACTGCTGGAGTGAGTATGTTATTAGACTTCTGCTGAATGCTCTAAGGTGACATTTCTAAGGCAAAATACCAGTACACCAGACCTCCAGATCTAAGAAAAAAAAAACCACTGTAGGTTGTCAGTGGTGCTATTAACTTTTTGACTGTGGCATCAAATCATATTTATATTACATTTTTATAACATACCTCTTCTTTCCTGTTTTATGTGTTAATATATATGCTGCTGCAATTTGCCTATGTTGCAGCATAATTATATTCTATGTAAATTTAATTTAAATGATACTATTTCATAGCCAGAAGACTAGGTGTGAACATTTTTTGTAACTACAAATTTAAAACCTCAAAAAAGCAAGGACCACTAATTCACATTCTTGCCTCAGACCAAATATAAATTCATTTGTAAGCAACTATATATTTAGTAACAAACTAGAAAAAAAATGAATTATCCAAAAATTTATTTAACACAATGACTACAATAGCTTCATCTTGTAGTACTATTATTTCATTTTTTATGCTGTTTTTAAACAGGGTTGGCAGACGGTCATTTTTTCCGGAAAAATTCCGTGATTTAGTTTTTCTCAATTGCATTGGCCGGCTAAAATTTATGATAGGGGTACTGGTACTTCAACTAATTAAATTTTAAATACTGCAAAAAAAAATGAATGGAATTTTATAGTGGAACCTACAAATAAACTAGTACATTTTGACTTATAAGCCTTTATTGGCCTTTTTTATTCTCGGATTTGGCCAATGTTAGGCAACCTGAATTATGTACCACTACGTCCTGGAGAAATACATTTTGTGGTACGCATATGTACCAATACGTAGTCAACGTGTTAAATAAATTAAAGGGATATCAAACTAGATTGCTAAGAATCCTGAGATAATTTCTTACAATAAATATTAAATTAAATTGAGAAGAGCAAAAACATCAAGTTATTTCTTTGCCCCAAAAATGTGTAGCAGGTACATACTTGCCATTGAGCCAGAAAGCATCATTAGTGAAAGCAGGAGAAATGCAGGCAGTGGTTGTTGCACACAGCTGGTCTTGACTCAGGGTGAAGCTCACAGAGTCATTCAGAGGTAAGATCAGAACTTCATCTCTCTTGCCCCCTGCAAGAGGAAAAAAATTCAGCAAGAGTTGATCTTTAGAATTCTACATTAAGATTAAAAACTTTAAATATTTATTCACAAAAGAAATAACCTTTCTTTTTTAAAACCCTTGAAATGAATAAAAAATCAGCAGTAAATAATTGATTTATAGTGTATTTAGCATTTATTAGGCCATAGGCCTGTTGCCGATTCTTAACATCGCAGAACATCCACAGGCCACAGCTTGTTGCAGTCTCAAACTCACAACTCACTGATTCAAATTCTGCTGTGCTTAACCGCCCAGCCTCCTTGCCGATTCTGACTAGAAACTGGCGCACAGAGCTGGGATCAAACCCGCGCCTCTCTGCGCCAATCTTGGCACTCTGAACTGTAAACAAAGGGGCGGACTGGGCCTCCCTTTCATCGAGTTCAATTGAAAAATTCAGGTTAATAACTGCCACTGGAACATCACTACAATTGACAGTGAAGACTGAACTTATGAAGAGCAGCAACAATGTTTGTCTCTAAACATTCAATGCCAATGGTATCAATGACACTGGTCTGGTATCCATGATACTTAATGATATGTAGCTAACTATATTTTACAACACTTCTCTCCAACTTCACTTCTTGTTGTTTGTTTGTCTGCTACAAATCTTATAATTGATGTTTGACACTTAATGCTTAATATTTATTTCCCTTTCAGAACAAAATTACATACCAGTCTGGATTCTGCGATATTAGGGTAAACGTGGTATATTCCAACATCGTGGGTAGTTCCGACACTTGACTTTTTTCCTTTATATTAACCTTTTTCTTAGTTCCATGCATTCGTTGATGGTTGAAATAGTGACGTCATACTTTTGCCAAAACACTAGGTCTGGGCTGTCTAGTGGGAAAATGTTGAGATCCAAAGAAAGACAGTGCGCGTCACCCAGTGAGAACATCGAAAAATGTGTCAAAGTTGATAGTTGACCTTGCTCTACCAAATAGTGATAAACTGTAATAGTGTAGAAAAAATATTATTGTTTGAGACTTATAAATACGTCTGTGAATATATTAGGAATCCTTTAAGTATACTTGTATTTGCTGATTTCAAGTGGTAAAAAAAATTTATAGATGATTAAGTTAAGAGATGGTTTTAGACACATAAAAAATAATTCCAACACAGCTTGGAATTAGACACACACTGCTCATTCCAAGCTGTGTGCAAAAAATAAAATTTTCTTAATTAAAAGCTTAATAGCTCTTAATTAAAAGCCTAATTAAGTAGTGTTCAATATTCAATAGTAGTGTTCTAATTCCAGGCTGTGTCATATTCCAATACAGCTCACACAGCAATCGGAATTCGAACACAAGAGTGTCGGCCAGGGTTAGCAATGATTAAATCAAAATGATTAAATCAAGTGATTAAATCACTTGATTTTTTTATAAAAAAATCATGCTTTTTTTGATTTTTTTGATTTTTTCATATATATAAAAATATTGAGTAGCAGTCTTTAATTTATATTGAGGTATTGTTATTCATGGTTTAGTATAAATGTACTATGAATGACAAATTGGTATATAAACGTGTTGCCTTTAGTGTGTATTAGGTTCCAATAAATGGCATTTTTTTGGTACAGAGGCATCAAGAGTGCAATACATTGTACGTAGCAAGCAGCTTAGCTAATTCCTAAAAGGCTATAAGTAGTCTTAACTATTTGAGTTTTGACTATTTGTTATACGGTATATTGATCACAATATACAATTTAAATGTGTTAGCTAGCTTATACAGGGTGGGGCAGAACTGACTAAACAGTCTTGAGGCAAAATAAAAGAGTAATGGAGGTACATAAAGAAGAAAGTTTATTTTCCTCATGATTAGCATAACATACCATATAAAATACTTATATTTTGAAAACAATATCAGGAAGATGGGGTTTGTTAGCTGCATCACACTGTTGGAGTTGTTCTCGGAAGTTTTCTACAGCACGTTCACACATATGGCTAGGTATGGCCATAACCTCTGCTGCAATAATCTGTTCCCTTAGCTGTGGTAGGGTGTGAGGGCGACTTCTGAACCCCTTTCTTTTAGGTGTCCCCAAAGAAAGAAATCGCAAATGCTCAAATCAGGTGACCTCGCAGGCCACTGTTAATCACCCCTCAGAAACACCAGACCTACAGGAAACATGCGTTTCAAAACATTGAGTGACATTCGAGCTGTGTGAGCTGTAGCCCCATCTTGCTGGAACCACACATCTCTCAATGCTTCATTTTCAACAATGTTTTCCATCATGGGCTGCAAGAAATTTTGCAACATTGCAGCATAGCAATCAGAATTCACTGTCAAGGTTACTCCCTCCTCTGAGAATGACTCCAACAGTGTGTTGCAGCTAACAGCCCCCATCTTCCAAATATTGTTTTCAAAACATAAGTACCTATTCTAAATGGTATGTTATGCTAACCTATAAGAAAATAAACTTTCTTTTTTATGTACCTCCATTACTCTTTTATTTTACCTCAAAACTGCTCAATCGGTTCTGCTCCACCCTGTATATTGAGAGGTTGAGATTGTATTGACCTTTTAGGCAATTAGAAAGATTTTCCACCCTAATATGAGTACGGTATTCTAATTAAAATATTTAATTTCAATCTTTGAATATGTGAATTTAAAACTAGAAACAAAACAATTACAATTATAAGACTACATATAAAATAATTAAATGCAGTGAATGGATATAAAATATTTTAATTGTGCACATGTTTATTTCAAACAGTGTTAGCGTTTCTCATAACTTAAGTCTCGTTCCAAGTCGTATGAGGTTTGTTTGGTTATCATTCAGTTTATGTTTAGTATTGGTTTATTGGTATGAATTAAATGGGAACAGTGCAGTCAGTCACTCAGTCACTACTAGTTGGTATGTATAGAAGGTAGAGTCTGGTAGATTTATAGAACATAAAACTAGTAGATCTATCAATAGTGCTGTGCACTGTGCAATCAGCTACCTATCTATTATGTGACTCTTCAATGTTTAGGAGATCTGCATTCCTGAAGTGTTTTTTGTATATTGAAGCCAGTTAAATGGTCAATATTTAGCTCATTACCTTGCTCCATACAAACTTTACAAAGCTAATGAATAGACTTATCAATAATTGTTTACCCGAAAATCCTTAACTGGTAAACACCACCTTGGCCTGTTGGCCATTATTGGAGGCAATAAGTGCCCTTTTTAGCCATCCATTATGATCCATATACTGTTATTGTTAGTAGGCTAATTGCAACATAAAAAATAACACCTCAAAAAAGCAGGGTTGGCGATTTTTTTTATTTTTTTTAAAAAATCAAAAAAATCAAAAATCAATGATTTTTTTGATTTTTTCAAGATTTTTTTGATTTATTTGATTTATTTGATTTTTTCAACTTTTTTGTCTTTTTGAAGTGTTATTTTTTACGTTGCAATTAGCCTACTAACAATAGCAGTATATGGATCATAATGGATGGCTAAAAAGGGCACTTATTGCCTTCAATAATGGCCAACAGGCCAAGGTGGTGTTTACCACTTAGGGATTTTTGGGTAAACAATTATTGGTACTATGTCTATTTATTAGCTTTGTAAAGTTTATACGGAGCAAGGTAATAAGCTAAATATTGACCATTTAACTGGCTTCAATATACAAAAACACTTCAGGAATGCAGATCTTCTAAACATTGAAGAGTCACATAACAGATAGGTAGCTGATAGCACAGTGCACAGCACTATCAATA